TTTGTTCATCTGTTTTATATGTAGTAGTTAGTATCTGCTAAACTTGAACTCCCAATTTATCTCTTCCCACTCCCTTCCCCCCCCACCAGTAACCATAAGTTTGTTTCCTATGTCTGAGAGTCTGTTTTTGTTTTGTAAATAAGTTCATTTGTTTTTTGTTATTTGTTTTTTTCAGATTCCACATGTTAAGTGATATCCTATGGTATATGTTCTGCCAGAGCGAAGGCACAAGACTCCCAAAGAGCCACGGGTTTCTTCCTGCTTTCCCTTTCATTCCAGTCCAGGTGTGTATTCCTCTTTCCTCCTGAATAAGAAGGTGGAGAAAGCAACCTCTTGTCGGCTTCCTTTTCGTGGCTCCACACCTATGGGCAGAGCTGAGCATTTTGGGAAGCTGAATGCTAAGTTTCATGAACATGGACTAAAATCAGGATCCCCCTAAATTAACAGTGTTTACTTCTCAGTGAGTGATGTTCTCACACAATGAAACGTGGAATGTGAGAGAGGATCAGGGGAATGACCACCACATCATAGCAACAAAAGACGTGAAGAACTGATTGGTGAGAAAGACACATGGAGCCGAGGGACCTGCATATGCTAAATGTCTGGAGGGAGCCACTTCACACCACCAGCGCATTTTCCGAATACATCATGACTTCCTCCCAATGTCACCGTCCAGCACACTTCCTGAAGGGCATTTTGTCCAATAGCAACCCACAAACAAGCAGAAGGAATGACTGGATATTCCATTTTAAAGAATGCACTCTCTTTTTTCTTAATATTTTTCTGTCTCAGGTGATTTAGGGAAGCCCAGTAACCAGCCCCCACTTCACTAAAAGGGGGGCAACTCCGTATGAAAGCAAACTGTGAAGTGGACCTCTCCAAACCCTACCTCCCACCCTTCAACTGAAGGGGAATAGCATCTTTGGGTTTCCCTCCCAGAAGATGTGGTTTTGAGCATCCTCACCGGCAGCCCTGCAGGAAGAACAGCTCACCTGTTCCCTGGACTCGTGGACTTCCTCCTCCCCCCACACCTGACCTTTCAGAGCTACCAGTCACCCACAGGATGAATGCAAATCAAGAGTGGCTTTCAGGCCTCTTTGGACTATGGCCCCTGCCTCCCTGACTGGTCTCCCAGCCCCTCCCTGCTCCCGACAGTCCAGTCACACACATCCTGGCTGTCCCGAGCACGCCCTGATCTGAGCTGGTGTGCCTGTTTTGTACCTCAGCTTGGATGCCCTCCACTTTTGTTTGCATGCTGCACAGCCGTGACCTTCACAGCGCTGCGATTTGAAGCCTGCGAACTATTGGTCTCAATATTAAAAAGCGATAAATCACGTTCACAGACTGTTACCATGTGCTCCATCCAAATATACTTTCATAAAAACCATATGAAAAAATATGTATACCTCTGTGACTTTCGGCAAAATATCAAAGACAACAGAATTTAATCACCGTTGCATTATGTCTGGGTATCCTGTCGATGTGTCACGATGTTTGGATGAGTAGTAAAACAGAGATACACACACTACACAAATTCCTGTATGTTTTTTCCAGAATGCTGTTCCTTACCCTCATTTCATCAAATTATTAAATATTTGTAAGAATAAAGATTAAAAAAATAATTTGTAGTCTATCGACAATATTGATCAACTTTTTTTTTTAATAGAAGTACTTGGGATTGAACCCAGGACCTCATGCATGTTAAGCACATGCTCTACTACTGAGCTATTACCCCCCCACCCCAACTGTAATGATCTGAAGGATTAAAAATGAAATGTAATAAATTCAAACTGTGAAGAATTTGATTATATTCTCATCAGAAGAACAAAATAAAGAAAATGTAAAAGTTTAAAAGTTTAGAGTATTTTTTCACATGCTTAAAACTTTCTTGGAAAAAAAATCTTCAAAATTACCTACAGAATTAAAAGTCAAAATCAAATGATAAGAAATGAGCATTTTAAATTAGAATTATTTAAATAAAGCTAAAATACTTACCGACTTTAAAAAATACGTAATTAAGTTTTAGCAACTACATTTTGAGAGTAGAAGTATTCACAAGTCTAACGTTTAATGTTTATTTAGTGCCCGTGTAATGAATCAACAGCCCATTTCATGAATGGTATGTCTAGAGCAACATGTATACAAATGTTGGAAGAATATATATTGTTTAATGTTGCAAACACTGTTCAGCCACCTAGTGCAAATAAACATTGTGGGCACCACTGGAGCATGGGAGTGCCTCCAGAACAAGGAGTCAGAACTCAAGGAGAAGCAAGGAAATGGATGCTTGCCATTCCTCATGGAAATGATACATTATTATACAGGAACATTTTGAGGAAGGATTTGCCAAGTCATTCTGTCTTTTCTCTTGCCTAAGTGTCTCCATCAAACAAATCCTCCTCCACACTCTCTGAAGTAATCAGCCCACAAACCTCCACAGCAGTCGGAAGCCGGGAGCCCCTGTTCCCAGGACCCAGGGCAAGAGCTGTGGCCACCATTTCCCCAGCCTGAGCCGCCTGAGTCACCTCACAGCAGCGGGTGCTTAGGGTTACAGCTGAGCTCTGGATCCTGGCAGAGCGGCCCTTGAGATCTTTAACAGATTTGTTTCCATTTGCTGTGGTACCCGGGACCCTAACGTGCAGGGCCCTGGGCCTCTGCTCCGATCTGAGGATGCTGCTGGGCACCTGGAAACCTCTGATTGTGACTTGTTTGTATGTAAGCGCTCACTTCAGTGCAGCCTCCCTGAGGGCCTGCAGTTTAAAACCAAGATTGACTTGTACTTCACTGCCTATTGTATTTCCAAGGTAACACAGATTTAATTTGCCAACTACAAAATTATATTGAATCTGTTCTTCCGACACACGGTTTACGTGCCCGGGTGGAAAGCCACCATGCTCGCAGAAAGATGGTGCTTCACGATTCTGGGCTGACAGTCCCAGTGCTGGGCCTGCCTGTGGGACTTCATTCATGCTGTGGGATCGCACATGGTTTCCGTGCACAAGCTGTGCCAAATCTTGACTCTGTGACTCAAAGTTCTGCAGTTCAGAGAGAGTCCTCTTTTGGCTGCCTTTTTTTTTCTTTAATTAAAGTACAGTCTTTTGAGTGAATCTCTTCATTTATTTGCAGAATCTAAACACTAACCAGGGACAGCAGGAAGCCTGAAGAAGGATGGAGAAGCCCCACAGAGTCTTCTTCTCCTTGATTGTGGGATCTGGGAGGTTTGGGAAATGTTCATTTCAAGGCCCCTAATTGGTAGAGATGTCAGCCTGAGGAGGCATTTCTTTGCGTTGTCTCTTAAAGGATCAAGATGGAAAAGATTAGACGTCATACTTCTACTCGTGTTTACAATTCAGACCATAACTTCAGAGCCGGACCTGCATTGGTTGTGCAGAAAATGAAGGGGACGGGAAAATATTTCAGACCCTCATAATCCTATTGTAAATATGTCTTTAAAACAAGTAAGTTCAGAATTGAAATAAGCTATTTTGTGAGGCTAAAGTCCTTGAGGAAGTAAACCAGAGGCGCTGTAAAATTCTGCCAGGGTAAATGAGATAAAAAAACAAAGAACTAGTTAGGTGCTTGGGTCAAGACCAAGCCAAACAGAGTCTATAAGGGCCCCCCAGCAGAAGGCGGCACCGGACCCCCCTCACCTCCTGAGTCCCCTGTACTGACACGGTGGGCTGCTGTGGTGGTGGCTGCGGTGGTGGCTGCAATGATGGCTGCAGTGTGACAGCTGCACCACGTGCCAATGCTACCAAGTGGGCTGCTGCCACCACCGCACCTGCCGCTGCCACTCGTGTGACTGCGGCTGCGGGAAGGGCTGCTGTCAGCAGAGGTGTTGCAAGAGGCAGTGCTGCCACTAGGGGGCGGGCTGCCTGGCCTCTGGGTAGGTGCAATAGGAGGCCAGGCTCAATCCTGGGCTTAGATTTTTAGACATTCTGAACTTTCATTTCTTTTGGTTCATCTAAATATTCAGCTTGTAATTTAATAGAAAGACACCTGATTAGAAGTCAGAAGTCTCACATTCAAGTCTATGCTTTGCTAGAGCAGCCTGATCATGAATGAGTTAGCCTCCCTGAATCTTACTCACCTGTAAAAATAAAAAGTTTGAGCTAAAAACCTCTAGACACTTACTGCTTTAACAGCACATGAATCTATTGAGCTCTCACAGTGAAATTCACAGGTTCTCTACCGCACAGACCCGTGTATCTACTTTGGCTATAGTGGGCATTAAAATGTGCTTAGGTATCTATAAACAATTCTCAATCCAGTCTGATCCATCAATCAAAATCCACACGGCAGCAAAAATATGCCACAGTTCTGAGGGTGCAGAAATCCACACTAATGAGCTCAGTGGAATGAGATAATACTTTTAAAGATGTTTCAATCTTGAAATCCTTACTATTCTGTTTGTGGAACTTCTGCACCTGTATTCCTGAAATGGAGCAGGACCCTAAGGGGCCTTCCCAGTACAAACCACCCCTCTTCACGTCCTCTGCCTGCCTCTCGTCTGTAAAAACAAAACTTTTTTTCTCTTTTATTCCTTTAGTCAAAGAATAAGTTTAATTAGAGAAATAAGAAAATAAAAAACCGAAAGGGAACAGTCATGCAAAAAGAAATAGTTTAGTCATTAAACAAAGTCAAGGACCTTGAGTTCCTTCTCAAGGACTATTGATAATATTCTGAGCCATGTCCTTTGAGCTGTTTTATAGCTACTGAAACCCCCACCAGACAGAAGAAGTTAACTAAACGATGATCAGACTGTAGTCATGACATAAGTGGCCACAATTCCGAGAACTGGCTTCAGAGAAATGGGAACAAACCGACCTTGGAACTGAAGATGAACCGTCCTTGAAGCAACCGAGGCGATGCAGATCAGACCACCAAATGACTAACTTCAAGATGACTGTCAGAACTGGCTGTGCTGTTCTGCATGTAGTCCCCTCCCTCTGCCTGTGCACCCCTAAAACTCCACTTTAAAAGTTCTTACCCATTGATTGGCAGTGAGGGGGGTGGAGTTGGACTTTGGATAGGAGTCTGCAATCCCACTTTCCATTGCCAGCCTCCAGAATAAAGCAAACTTTCCTTTCTACCGACATGTGCCTCTCTCTGTATTGGCTTTCCAGAGGCAAGCAGCCGGACCTGCATTTCGGTAACATTCTTATTTATATTGCTTATATACCGTACAGTTTTCTAATGTTTCCTAATACTCCAAAATATAATTGCTGAATAAGACTCTAGGAAAATGTAGTATTTCACTATCTTGCTTTGATTTGTTTTTGATGTTGCTTTTGAGGTGGGGTGGGAGTGATGGAGTTGACATTTGGTAACACATTGCAAAGATCAGAAAGGTTATATAGTGAAAAACAAGGGATACGCTGGATTTATTGGGGTAATGCTAGCTACCATAACAAACTGACACAAAAAATATGATGAGTTAACACAATAGACATTGACGGCTTGTTGATGTCAACTATCTTGAGCAGTTCTAGGTGGGGAGGCACTTGGGACCTCTAAATGGTAGAAAGTTAGGTTGATGGAAACTGATATTTTCAACACTTGACTTCCAGGGTAGTTTGGTTTCTCTCCAAACTATAGATGAAAAAGAAGAAAGCAGATAACGTCCATCACTTTGTAAGCTCCTTAGATTGAAAGGAACATAGCTTACTTCTCCTCACTTCCCATTGGTTAAAAGTAGTCACATGGCCCAACCTAGATGCATGGGGAGCTGGGAAATGTAGTCCATGACTAGGCATACACTTCTCAACCACTCTACTATGAAAGGTAAAAAAAAAAATGAATGTTGGTGGACCATTAGCTATGTCTGTGCATGAAGCCCATGATCTAATAAAACCCTCAACTGATTTATTTGACTGGAGTGTGTTTAGAAAAGGATGTCTGACAGAATGTGAGTGGGCATGCAATATCTGTTCCCGTCCCACGAATTCCTCCTAGGGTAGTTATCCAGGGTGGTGTGAGGCATATTCAGGACACGGCTGGAGCTACATGAAGATCACATGAACCTTTCATGGGGTGGGCAGAAGATAGTAAGAGCCAGAGAATTTCAGGAAATGTGGTCTCCAGCATTTAACTACAATCCTTACTGCTTCTAGGTCCGTGGTGTGCAGGGGGCTAGGAGGGAAAGCATTGAGTGGGGGGAGAGGATAAAACAAGGTGCTTTTTCATTACCTCTTGTCTTCACCAGTGACGGAAATATGACTTGGCTGTGACTCCATTCTCTCCCATATATTAACTCTCTTCTATCCCCCAGAGAAACACATTTTTCTAACACTCCTGAGATGTGTTCTCACTTGAACTAAGCAGGTAATTTTGACTTGTTTTTAAAAGTAACATGTCATTCTAGACATGTAAGTATATCTAGAGAGTCTAGACTTCTAAGACATGGAAGAAGCACAAACATGATTCATATCATTTAAAATGATACATAGAAATGATAATCCCAGATACTCTAGAGAAAGTTTTTTTTTTTTCTCTCATACAATTTAAACGAAATCACCGTGGTGAGCTGTCTTGCTCAATATCCATTTCAATGTCATTCTCCTATGCCTTTCTGGACTGTAGAGGCTGGAATGATTTAAAACTACATTTTCCAGAACTTTTATAGATTACACTTTCTTTTCCCCTTAATGGAGGCACTGGGGATTGAACCCAGGACCTCGTGCATGCGAAGCACATGCTCTACCACTGAGTTACATCCCCCCCATCCGTATGATATTATTTATATGTGGAATCTTATTTGCATAACAGAGCCAGACTCTCAGACATAGAAAACAAACTTATGGTTACCAGAAGGGAAAGGGAGTGGGACGGATAAATTGGGAGTTCAGGATTTGCAGATACTAACTACCATATATAAAATAGATAAACAACAAGGTCCTACTGTGTAACACAGGGAACTATATTCAATACTTTGTAATAGCTTATAATGAAAAAGAATATGAAAAGGAATATATATATGTATATATAAATGAGTGACTTTGCTGTACACCAGAAATTAACACAACATGGTAAATAGAATATAATTCAATTTAGAAGAATTAAAAAACTACATTTCCCAGAGTGCTCTGCATCTAAGGTCTGGATATTGCAGCAATTAGATCATCCTGCGCGAAGGTGAAGTGGAGGCCATCTTTCTGCTACTTCTGTCCGCGGCTGTGAAGGAAGGTTGGAGGTGGTGGTGTTGAGTCTTCTGCGCTGCATCAATGTTCCCGGGTCCAGATATTAGTTTCATTGAGGTTAAGAAGCAGTTGCAGTGGCAGCAGACGTCACATTCAGGGTTCCAGGGTCCTGTCACTGATCTTGAGGGTTTGGAGGAGCAGTGGCGGCAGCAGTAACCATGGCTTCCTAGACTTGTAGCTGTCTTGGTGTATGCTTGAACTTGACCAATCCAGAGGTGGCTTCTTTTTTTTTTTAAACACCTTTATTGTATGATTCCTGTATAGTACACTACACATATTTCCGATGTACAGTGTGATGAACTCTGACAGATGTGTACACCCATGAAACCAGAGATGGCTTCTTGATTTCCCTGCCGTTCTGACTGCTACTGAGGCAGAAGCTCCTGCAAGGCCATCCAGCAGTCACGTCCCGGGAGGCATTCTAAAGCCTGCCCTCCAGTCCTCCCGACAATTTTGTCCACACGGTTCCTCAATTACACTTCTTCCTGCTTAACTTAGAACAATCTTGGTTTTCTGCAGCTGACACTGGTACACAAAATACCCTTCTGATTATGGTTTTGTGTCAAATTCTCACCACCGTCCACAGCTGAGAGGAATCCTAGTTCTTTGCCCTCCTTGGTAGAATCCTTCCTTTTTCTGAACTCCTTTTCTTGCTTTAGCATGACATGTAACAAGGTATTTGTATGCTCTTCCATTCTTGGTTTTGGTAACTTTTAGTTTTTGTTTGGGGGGGGGGAAGGAAACTTACATAAGTCCTAAAACGGAGACAATTTGTTACAAGAATATAGAGGCATCTCAAAGAAGACAAAGACAGGACCTGCAGTCAGTCTACACAGGGTAGAAACCAGACACACCCAACGTAACATGCTCAATATGCGCTCCTGCTTCTGTAAGACGGCGCTACTGTCTAAGCCCATTATGCCTGCGCTTACTGACTCCACTTTTGCATTCATTCATTCATTTATTCTGCCATCATTTCCAATAGCATTTGCTGAGTCTGTGCTCTGGGCTGGGATGAGGATCACACGAACGTAGAAGGATCGCATGGTAGATAGCAGAGCTGGTTGATTCTTTTCTGGACACATGTTTATTCATATTTCACCACACACTTGAACTCAAACAGAACTGAATTTGGCCAATAAAATGTGAATAGAAATGACCTGGATCCTTTCTGGACAGCAACATTAACACTCGTATGTGGCTCACAACATCCTTTCACTCTGTCTCTGCAGTGGTAGGAGCCACGAGAGATGGTTGGTGCCTCTGTCCATTCTGAGTCTCTCGGTAACTACCATGAGCAGAGCCCCCTTGTGGACCTGTGATGGCCAATTAGTATAAGTGAGAACTGTATTTTAAAGCCTGTCCCAACTGATAGAACCTTTTCTGGAGGAGCTCACAAACTAGTAGGGAGACACTAGTGTGGAACCTCAGTCCAGAATGCACTGTACACGACCAAGTAAGCATTCAGGGTTGGAAGAAAATAAGAAGTGATAATCTCCCCTCCAGGCTGCTTCCTCTTCCTGTTTCATTTTGATTTCTATGTTTGAATACTTTCAGTCTGGCAGTGTTAATCAAACCTCCTACAAATCTTACAGGAGTCTTAGTCTGCCTGCAAATGGACTAGTCTACAGTACTGGAATAATACAGCACCAAACATTTTTAAAATTTTGTTTATATGAGTATACAGCCTGAAACTGAACCCTAAAATTTTGACTAATCAAGAACATTTGATTCTCTTTTCAGAGAAAATATTTTTCTCCCAATCTCATGTTCACTTTCTTGTTAAGCAATTTCAAAATAAGGAATTTCTATAGCTGGTAATAATATCAATACAACAAGAAAAAATATATTAACTGGATATTCTTGTTTTTACTTTTTATATGGTATACTAATAAAATGTAAAATATGTTAGTAGAGTGTATCTTAAACCTGTCTTTTTTAAGTTTTCATCTGTTTTTATGCAAAAATTTATCTAACAGAAACTACAGATTTTTTTCACCTTCCTTCCTCTACCCCATCATAATATAAAATCAATCCTTACTTCCTGTAATACTCATAATAATGCCCTGCCCTTATTGGACTCTGAACTGCTTTCTGTAATTTTTTTTTTAATAAGTGCTGAACTTTAACTAGAAGGCTCAGGATAAAAGGCAAGAGAGTGCCACACAAGCAGCCACCCTGACAGGGTTTCTCGTCGAATCAGGGGAGACCATGACCTGCTGTGAAGGATGGACGGCGTGCAATGGATTCAGCCTGCTGGTTCTGCTTCTGTTGGGAGTAACTCTCAACGCAATACCTCTAATTGTCAACTTAGTTGATGAAGACCATAGTTTTCAAAACCCCATCTCTTGCTTTGAATGGTGGTTCCCAGGAATTATTGGAGCAGGTCTGATGGTGAGTAAAATTTATTCAACTGGATTTGGGCAAAGGCATCCTATTTCACTAAAGATGTTCTAAAAACCACCTTTCAGCCTCGCAGTGAGCTACCTGTAGGCTTAGAATATAGTGAGAAGCAGTCAGGATGGTATTTATATTGGCATCAGTGAAGAACAACTATTTAAATAAACTGTGGTACAGGCTAGGGAGCTTGGGTGAAAAATAGTAACAGAAGAGCTGTTTGGGTTATTACCTACGATACTTCCGTATATGTAAGGCTGCTTTTCCACGCTTCATAGTTAGTGTTAAGGACCTTTCAAATGCATTCCCTCAGCTTTCCTTTGCCCATATTAGTCTCTAAGTACTCGCGGGGAACGCGGCAGGAGTGGCAAGTGCTCAGCAGGGATGGGAAGGGTCCATGCACGACGAATATCCTGGATGACCAGTGTGAGGCATAAAGACGGCATTGCCCGCACTGAGGGGAGGTTTGGGGCTCGAAACACTGGCTCTCTGAGCTCAGGGACTTTTTGACTCAGGTCTTACTTACAACGGAAACATCATAATGCTTGTTTCATTTTAAGTGAGATAATCACGAATAGGTCTATCTTTGTTGAAATCTGCAGCAGGGCAGTGTAACGCAGAGCTCCCCCACTTTCCTGATCACAGATCACCTGAGGCACCTGTAATAGACCTAGATTTCTGGGACTTCTCCTGGGAATTCTGATGCAGCAGCCGGGGTAGAGCCCACTGTGCAGAGTAACACATACTACTGTCAGGCCTGGCAGAGTATCTCAGCTCTGGTTCTGCCTCCCGTATATTACTGTTAGCAAGTCATTTATCCCATGATTTTTATTTCTGTATCAGTAAAATAGGGATGTGGATATAGAAGTTTGAAAATTCAGCATTCAAGAGGCTTGGTTTTGTTATACTACTTGGGTGCTACCTGAGGACAGTCTCATTAATGCCAGAGAAATGTGCCTTTGTTTGGATGTGTGTGTTTGTGTGTTTGAGTTGTGTGTGTTTGTGTTACTATGATGATCAGTTACGGCTTCTAGTCTGATTCCCCAGCTTTCATGAAAGCACTCTTGCATCACTAGATATAATACAGAGAGAGGACAGACAAGTGCCAACTACTGGGTTCACACTTTACACTATCTCATTTAAATCCTGGAATAATCTGTCTGAGTAGATACTAACATTTGTATTTTAACAGACTAGCAAACAGAAGGTTAAGAATGTTAACAAGGTTATATAGTAGGTGTGAAACCCAATTTCAGATGTACCTGACTTCAAAGTATTAGCATCGTAATCCTTATCACCGATCTCAGGCAGACAAAAGGGAAGGACAAAATCCATAACTTAACCCATAAACTTGAATGACCAGGAAACTGAAGCATAGAAAGATTATATGTGAAGCTGTTTCGGAATCTGGACTTTCTTGTTCCATGATTTATTTTATTACCCCCAATAAATATTAACAACATACTGGTATCGCACCAGACTCTCACTGTTACTCTATTGTGGAATGTCTTCAAAGCATCAAAGAACCCTTTGAAAAGTTCAATAGGCATTTTATAAATTGAGCCTCAAACTCCACACCAGGCTCAAAGCAAACAGGTGAGTGAGAGAAGGGCTCCGAGTACAGGTGTATTTTCTTGTATTTCCTTGGCTGTATGTAGAGTGTGGAAGAATCTTTTTCAAAGGGAATTGTGTCCTTTACATCTTGAAAATAATAACTAGTTAAAAATATTGACCTCTCAATATACTTGTAAATAAACAGAAAGTTAATGAAGAAGAAATCACTGCCTTGATAAGCACTTTTGTCAGAGTTCTTGAAATTGTTCTAATCTGTAGCATTTTAAACTAGTATTGTTTCAAAAACAGAGGATTTTGCAGGAAGTAGTTAATAATAAAAGCTACAGGATTCATTACTGATTACTTCATAATATCTAATCATTTTATAGTTTAATGATTTACCCAAAACAGAGGTGAAACTTTTCATCTTCTGAAACTATGACTAAGAGCAAAAATGTTATGTAATTATCTTCCTCTATTATCTGATAAATGGAAAATCGATACATTCTTTTTTCCAAGTACTGAAAAAAAGACTTGTAATGTTTCTTTTAAAAAAATACAAAGGCCATTTTATTTTATATGAGATTAATCATGCTTATTTATTGATTTCACTTATTACATAATGATAATTCATCAATTATTAAACCTTAACAGAGAACAAATTATTGAACATTAAACAAATTGAAAAATAATGTATAACAAGAATTTTCAAAATACAGTTTTTTATTTATGATGAGCCATGGCTTTATGAGTTACTCTCATGGTTAAGTACTTGGAGGAATTCCCCAAAGTTTGAATTCTATCAGAGTTGTAATGGTCTAAAGTCTTTTCTGTACTTCATTTATAAAATCATATACCTTACTTTCAAAACTGGATGAACGTATGGGTTTCTGTAAGGAAAAATAAACAATGCTACTCTTTTTCTTTATTAAAAAAAAAAAGATGTGACAAAAATAATTTCACTAAAGTCCTCTGCATTCAAACGTGCTTAGGAATTGACAGAGTATTCTCAATATAACTTTTTTTTTCCCCAGGAGATTATCTGGAAGATTTATAATTGAGTCACACACACACTTACACATCTTAATGTCCATCCTATAAAAAGCCCCTCCAATTTCCAAAGCCCTGAATGGGCAAAATGGTTGAAATACAGTGAGTTATCAACTTACTCATAACGATGTAACACAGATGTGTTAACATGCCATGACGTCAGCTGGGTGGAGATTCATATATAATAAGTCCTTGTTACTTTATAAAACCCCTTTGAAGGGAAAGCATCTCTTTCAGCATCTCTGAGATAGATTAAGCTTCAAGAAAGCAATTTAATTTACATCAATAAGGAAAATGGAATGATTTAGCCATTCAAGTTGTACTTTAATGTTGCTCCAACTTTCTTTTAACAGATCAATTCATTTTCTAAATCAGGGGCAACAAGTTTTTGGGGTGAAGAGCCAGAGAGTGACTGGGTTAGGCTTTGCAAGCCAGTCTCTCTCACTAATCAACTCTACCGCTGGTGCACAAAAGTAGCCATAAATAATAAACAAGTGAATGGGCACGGCCGTGTTTTAATAAAACTTTATAAAAAAGAGGTGGTGGGCCATAGTTTGCCAGCTCTTGTTCTAAGCGATTTGTTCCTTAGGCTCGGAAGGCAGTTTAACTAACGTTACAACAAAGGAAGTTGAGCCCACGAGCACGGACACCTCTCTGGGGCACAGATTTCTTTTCCCTTTTCTTCTGGGCTCTCAGCGCTGCCCTGCAGTGGCCGGGCTGCCACACAGACACCCATCCTCTGAATTATTCGGGGGTTTGTGTTCAGGGCAATATGTAAGCAGAGCTTGATGAAAACACAAAGCGCTTTCTGTAAGTGACATGGAGTCAGCACATGGTCACATGGGGTGAAGTTTGCCTTGGAAGGCTGTTCAATCTTAGACCTGCTCTGAAAAAACAGAGGTAGACATGGTCTTGGAAAGAAAGGCTGGTGTGAGAGCAATTAGAAGCAGGACCAGGAGATGAGCAGGCATGATGGGGATGAGAAGGAACAAGCTCTAAGAAGGAACAGAGGAGACTTGTAAGAATTGGCCAGCGTGGTTGGAACAGTAGTTGAGTCTGGGCTCTGGAACCCAAATGCTCAGCTTTGAATTCCAGTGCTTCCACTTTCTTAGACGAGTTACTCACGCTTTCTGTGCCTCAGTTTTCTGCCCCAGTCAAATGGGGACAGTCAGCACCACCTCATAGGATTCGTATGAGGCTGCAAATGGACTAAAACACATACAGCGCCTGTAACAGTGCCTGGCGTGCTGTTAGAACTCAGCGAAATGTTAGGAAACAGGGCTGGAAGGAAAGCGAGAACCACCGAGGACAGCTGTGCTGAGGTGGCAAAAAGAAAAAAAAATTATGACTAAAATTTCTTAATTGGAAGGAAGTAATTTACATTCCACTCTTTAGTGATACGAATCTTCTTCCAGGAAGGATTTCTTATCAGAGCTGCTGACTAGCTGTTACTAAACATTTTAACCTAAGTCCTCAGAACACGGCGCAATTTCTCACAGCTTTCCCCAGTCACATTGTCCTCTTGACACAGAATATGAGATTTCTCAACATCCACATGAAGTGAGCTCATTACATACCATGAACACAGGAGTAGAGAGGAGAATGTGGCACTAAAAATCATTCTCAAATCATAAGTTTGGGGAACTAGTGGTGACCCTGGGGGTGAGAGGAAAGTTCGGGAAGTGGGAAAAGGGTGGTGACAGAATTCTTAGTTCCCAATTGCCAGGCAAACAAAACTATCAGTTTCCTTTCTGGATGCTTGCCGGGTTAATTCGCACCATTTTGGGGAAATTGGGTAAGTGGTTGCAGATTACAGCAAAAAAATAAATAAATAAATAAATGTGAATTTTAGATGATGCAACTAATTCTTTCAGAAACATTCTTTCCAAAATAATTAATAAATAACTAATTCTATCTGAAATCCACGTTTCCTGAAAGATGACTCAGAGTAAAGCAAGAATATAGATGGAAGATTTTGAAACTGCTATCCCGACATTCCCCATCCCGCCCCCTCATTAATCTTTATCATCGAAATGGGGATCACACGGGTCACAAGATCAAGGGCATTGCCAAATTTCCTTTTTGTTCTCTTGAGCCTTGGTTTTCCACAGCTGCTGGTAAATAAAAGGTAGAGATCACCACTCTTTCACCTGATGAGAAATAATACTATTCATCATTCCTGTTAATGTAATTTCCAGGTCATTCCAGCAACAACAATGTCCTTGGCAGCAAGAAAAAGAGCGTGTTGCAACAACAAAACCGGGGTGAGTACCGCGCGGCTAGGCTGGGAGCACAAGTGCATTACTGATGGATGTCTCAGCATCTCCGGAATCACCCGGTGGCTCTGGGGGCAGGGCCAGTCCTAAAAACACACTATTGGAATGATTAGATGATAATACTGACAGTAAAAAGTGTATCTTGTTTTCCCCCCATAAAAATTTAGTTTTGGAGCCAGCTTTCAGACCTTTCCTCAATCTTCAGTTTCAGTCTAAAGGTTTTCAAAGAAAGGAGATTTAAAAGTCACACTTGGAGCTGTAATCGATTTCATAACACTCAAATACTTGTTACTTTTGTGGTGTGTATGGAATACTTAGGGAAAATGTATCCTCAGCTCTTTATGTATATGCAACATTGGTTCGCTAGGATCAGAATGTTAATTGTCCTTAACTAGTTAAAGGAGATAACAGTTATTTTTTCCCCATTTAGTATGTACCTACCATGTATAAAATTGTAACTAAGCTAAAAGTAAAGGAAATTAATGTTAACCTTCTGTCAGTATACTCGGAACATTTTCAAATACGCTACCTTAATTCTCTAGAAACCCTTAAGCTTTATGATCTGTTTCATTGACAGAGAAATTGATCACCAGAAAAAGCAAACAACTTGCCAGTGGAGCAGTTAGAAGGTGGATTTGTATCCAAATCCATCAGACTCCAAGGTTCCCGGTCTTTACACTATTTATGCCCAAAACACTAAGTAATACTGAGGGCTCTCATAATTCCTTAAGGAAACAGGTAGATCAATAAACAAGCAGTCACAGTAAATATTCCTGGCTGTACTTGAGGTCTTAAAGCAATGGTTCTCCACCTGATGGGAACAATACAACCATCTGGGGAAGATCTTAAAACATACCAATGCCTGGTGACTCCCCTGAGATTCTGACTTAGTTTTTTTCAAAAGCCCCATAAGTGATTCTAATGTGCTCCCAGGGCTGAGAGCCACTACTTAAAGGGTACATATTTCTATTCATATTATGCATTTATATCAGTAAGGTAAAATTTTGCATTTTTAAAAAATTACCTTTTCCTGACATTTGATATTTATGGAAGACTATAGTTACTTTCTAGTTATTTACAGTCTGTCTTGGTTCCTGATACACTGTAGTGGTCAGCTGAAATGGACAAGGCTCAGGTAGAGCATAAAAGTTCAGTTTTCCAATGATCTTTCTGTGAGTCTAACTAAATGGCAGGGACCATGCTCTCTGCCTTCTCGTATGTCATACCTAATTAAAACTGTGATCTTAAGATCTAGGACTATAAGGCGGCTGGAGAAGGGCTGCAGTTGATTATAGAGACTGCAAATGCTGCTGAAACTTGAAACAGACCAGGAACATGTCATAGCATGTGCAAATGCGCCTACTTTATTTTTCAGATGTTCCTTTCATCACTTTTGAATGTAATCACTGTCATCGGTGCTGCGTATTGCCTGCTGGTGTCCGTCCAGGCTCTCTCGGAAGGCCCTCTCATCTGTAACTCTCAAGGCAACAGTACTTCCACTTGTGAATTTTCATTTAACAATTTGACGTGAGTAACTGTACATGGATGGTCTGACACACCTGCAGCCAGTTAGACTAGAATCGTGTGGTGCTGACACAGTGCCGTGTTTTCCCTCATGGGACTGATTCTTAGGAATTTAGCATGTTAAACCCAACGGGCACCATCTCAAAGAAATGAAGGAATCCCTACGTTCAGAAAGCTTTGGGTATGGTCTTGTCTAAAAGGAGTAGTTGATTAGTTGTATTATCTTAGTCTTTTAAAAAAATCTAGGCTGCGTATGTGCATGTATATAAAAACATTTCTGGAAATACATACCAAGAACTTAACTTTCATCCTTAGAGAAGGGTCCTGGAGGATACCCTCGGGGAGTGAAGGGAGCACTGGCTTTCTACACTTCCGAACTTACTAAATTTGTAAGCCCTAAGCATGGATTACCTGTATAATTTGAAAAATTAAATAAAAACACAATGAATTAATAAAATCTAGAGGCTTACCTATAAGCCCTAAGAGAAATAAAGAAGCAGCCAATGGAATTATGCAAATATACTATAAATAGACTGTAGGCAAAGGAATGAATCAAAAGGTTGTCAGGTAGTAACAACGCTGAAGTTACATGGAAATGGCTCAGTCTTATAAGATGGCTCTGTGCCTGAATCTAGACACATTTTGCAAAACTGGAAGAAAAGAACAGTCCAATTCATTGGTTATCTATATATTTTATTGTTCAAATAACTAGAACTCACTTCTGTAGTTACATGAAAAAAAATTTTTCCCTCCTTTTTCCTTATCTTGCTGCATTAAAAAAAGAAAAATCTCTCGAAATTTGCATACTACAGTTGCTGTGAATAAAAATCCAAAGAAATTCCTTTTACAAATAGAGTTGGAGTATAAAACTAGAGACTTCAACCACAGATGTGATAAACATTTAGTCCTTAGCAGGTGACAACTCACCAGGTACCAGACACCAGGCTAAACTCTGGAGGTAACAGCATCAAGGTATATCCCCACTCTGGCTGGGGAAACAGACAATTACAGAGAGCAAACAATTACAAAAGAGTGACCCTATGCTTGCTGCAAACTGCAAAAAACATGCTCATATTCCATGTGCTGAAACACTGCTGTGTTTTCCCAGGCTGAACGTCAGTTTCTGTTATCCAGACACAGCAAACTCTCCAAGAACTCTTAGTCTTACTGTAGAAAACCAGAGAAATCATGCCGGAACAGATGTTTCAGGGCTAAATGTTTCTCACTCTCCATGCCTTGTTACGACATGCACAGATCACTTTAATCAGACACATGTAACGTGTCTGTGGTGGGTAAAAATTGTACATCTGATTTAAGAGTAGATGCAACACTGCAGTTCTACACTAAGGCTTGAGCTCCTTGAAAGGGGAAGCCCTTTTATTTTCATTTCTTTAGCCAGTAGAGAAGAGCGCCTGTCTACATAGGTTGGATCATGAAACTGTTAATATTCAACCATTGTTGACATGGAAAATTTCATATAGCTCAGCCGAAGAGCAGATACTATGGAAATGCTTGTTGAACGATGGGACATGTAATGAAGAAACGTTTCATAGCTGATGGAGTGCAATGCTCAAGAGCCCCGATCTTGGCTGTAGCTTCTGGGCACAGTATTTCAAAAGCACTTTGTCTCACTGTACTTAGCCTTTAATGGGCGCAATGCTGCAGCTGGTCAGTGGTATTCCTGAATATCTTATTTTTATCATTTCTTTCATTTCTCCAGTGCCTATCGCCTAGAACCCTTCAATCTGCAGTGGTTCTTCAACGACTCTTGTGTTTCTCCTACGGATTTCAACACCCAAGCCGTCAGTGACCCAGGGGCCTGGGGCGGGGGAAGAAGATACACCTTGCACTTCAATTCTACAGAGAACAGACACAGGATCATCCATTTCTCAGTGTTTTTAGGTCTCCTGCTTGTGGGAATTCTTGAGCTCCTGTTTGGGCTCAGTCAGATCATCATCGGCTTCCTTGGCTGCCTGTGTGGTGGGGTCTCTAAGCGAAGAGGCCGAATTGTGTAGCTCACGAATGATAAAATGGAATTACTAGTTTGAACTATTTGAGAAGGACGTTTAAAAGACACTCTTCAGATGCTAGAAGCTCAATCATGGAACACTGCCTAGAAAGCTGGATGAGTTAAGCTTCATCCAGAAGGTTGTTTTTAAAGCCACCTTTGAGGTGATCTTAAAAAAAAAAATCAATTTTCACACATCAAGCAAGTTGGTTAATGCACATTTTCATATGGAAAGAAAAAAAATCATCACTGGTTGACTTTGGGGAGAAGTGGACAGAAGCTTTCAACTTGTGTCTGTCTGTGCTCCCATATTCTTCGAATTTTCTAACTATTCTCATGTGTGGAGGGAGGACAAGTGGGAACAGAAGCTGGAAGTCAAAGTATGGGGCCTTTCTATTTTATTTCTTTACACTTTAAAGGGATAAATATATACAGCTGACCCTGGAACGACATGGATTTGAACTGTGCGGATCCACTTATAAGGCAGATTTCTCCCAACAGCACATACTACAGTGCTACTCACGCTGCAACTGGTTGAATCTGGGGGTGCAGAGCCGCGGACACGGAGGGACCATGCATATGGAGGGCCAACCACAGGTTATGTGTGGATTTCTGACCACGTGGGAAGTTGGCACCTCTCCCACCCCTAAATTTTTCAAGTGTCAACAGTCATCTGAATGTCATCAGGTTTTTAGACCTAATTCAGCATATAGGAAATCCGGGAAAAAAGGACATATTTAGGCAAATTCAAAAGGTGAGACAGTAAACACACAATAGCCCCCTGTTCTCAGCAAGTTTAAAATAAAAGGTTGGATGGGTTGAGGGAACTATTCTAGACTGAGATCAAAGAGACAGACATGATTCAAATGGATTATGCAGACCTTGTTGGGGACAACTGGGAAAACCTGTGTAAGGACTGGTTTAGGTACTATTAAGGACTTATTAATTTTTATTGCTTGATAATGGTTTTAGGATTATGCAGTAAAATGTCCTTGTTTTTTCAGAAATGCATATTTATGTGTTTGGAGGGAAATGACATGTTTTTAAAATATTCCAGCCAAAAAAATAAAGCAATGGAAAAATGTTAATTGTTGTATTTAGGTGATAGGTATATGTCAATTCATATAATCTTCGGTTTTCCTATGTTTGCATTTTTCATAATAATTAAAAAACAATAAATACCTAGGAAAAAACTCAGTCTTTCAAAACCTGACTTATATATATGCCAAGCTTTAAAAGACAGGATAACAGAATCTGTGTATTTTCCATATTAAAATGTTATAAAACAGACAAAACTAAAAATGGCAATTTTCTGAATAGGATCATTCCTGCATTTTATTTCAATTATTTATGTTTACTGGGCTTAAGGGTCTAGAAATAATTCACAATGCCTGTATTAGAGATGGCCCCCTTCCCCAATTCATAATGTCAAGAATTTACAAGTTTTTTTTTTTTTTCCCTGAACCCATTTGCTGTGCGTACCTTCTCCTTATGCTACTATAAACACCAGTTTGTCCTTAAGGTCTGGCTTCAACATCTCCTACTTGAGAAAGCCTTCCCAGACTGCAGGATTCCAACAACCTAAGCACTCACCCAAACCACTGTTACCATACCTGTCACAATGTAACACGCTTTTGTTTGTAAGTCCATCACTGTAAGAGAATTTAAGAGAACAGGGACCATGTCCTTCTCATCCATTCTTCCACCAAGCTTCAGTTCCTCAACAAGGCCTCTCCTCCCCCAGCCCTACCCACCACCCATCTAATCTCTAAGTCCTCTCCATCCTGCAGACCCCAGCACAAGCATCTCTTTTCCTGCGAGGCCTTCCCTGAGCACCTAGTGAAAAGCAGGGCTCCCTTTCCTCTTTCCTTTAGCGTTCTTTCATTTACAGGACTTATCACCATGGCAACATTTTAATTTGTGCCTCTTTCTTAAATTTCACTCTCCCTTGATAGAGCGTAAACTGCACGGGTGCAGGGGTTTCCTTGATTCACTCCTGGTATACGCAGTCCCAGGGACAGTGCCTGATAGCGACTAGGGCCATTATGAATATTTTGCTACATGAATGAATGAGTCCTATCTTCAGTACTCAGATTTCAGTGAAGACTCAACGCCTATTAAGTGAATGTCTAACTCCTAAGAGCTGTAAAACTAAAACACAGGTAAAATGAACATGACAGCTCCCTGTACTTGACTGAACAAGTCAGGGGTGATGCATATGATGTTCATCACCCTGGAGGTGGGCGGGAGATAACCCGTTCTCCACAGGGTCATGAACACACAGAGACGTAAGCCTCTCACTGGTACCTAAACTTACAAACGCACGTCTGCGTACACACACACAAATGCACGTAGGCATTTACGAAGCTCATTGCTTTTATTTCTCACTTCCATCCCCATGTTCAGTCTTGTTTTGTAATCTTTACACTTTATTATTTTTTTACTACGTCCACCATCTGAAACACTCTCTCCTGTCCCTATTCTTCAGCATATATCTCAAGCTCCTTCGCCTCAATACAATTGTTTTTATAATCCTCTAACTTAATAAGCTTTACTTTCCTGCTCGTCCATGAATGCGTCCATTCCTTAAGAGCAGGGATTGTGGCGTATCTGCTGTGACCACTTAACTACTGAGGTCGGGGCGGTGCGCACGCAAGTCTCTCCTTATTGACATAATACGTTGTCAGCAAAAGAACAGTTACGGTAATTAGACGTTTCCAAACTTGAGGCCAGAAAAAGTTCAATTTCAAAGTCAAAGATAATTAAGAAGCTGGAAAACAGACATTGATGCAGGAAAGGAAGGAACGCTCTCTTGCAAATACAGTTTCATCAATTCTCTCTCAAAGTATAAACCTGCAAATGCTTCAACAAGTATTCCCAGAAATGAAAAAAATAACTCAACCTTTGGAGTTCTGAAAGGAGCGGAACAACGTACTTGCTACACTTCACACACTTACGACGTGGCTGTGAGTGAGTAGGGAGTGTGTTAGGCTGATCACTGCTTTACCGGCCCTGACTGATCCCTTTCTCCCACTGTTCCCTGCAGCTGGAATCTTTTCTTCATCCTCTGCTTGTTGAAATCACAGATTTATTTCAAGGTTCAGCTCAAACAGTTCTCTAAGAAGGATTTCCTGACCAGGAACGAATTTGTTCCTTTCAAAACCACTTTCTTACAGTGACGAGCAACTTCTAGGGGAGGGAGGCTGGCACAGCAGAGCTTGGCTCTGGAGGTAGAGATTCAGGCAGTCTTTTAGATCTGTGGCAAGGTGGAGACACGTTTCTTTGCTGTCCCTTTTGGAATGGCATGTTGATTTCTCACTTACCCTTTTGCCTGGGGAGTAGTTCTCTGGGGTCCCAGATTCAAGCAGGAGTCTCCTGTTACAGCTAGCATCTGCTTAAGAAGACACGGAATTGTATCTCCTGCCCCCTGTACAGCCATTAAGGGAGAAAGTCCTAGAATTCCAGTGTTTGATAAAACAGGGAGAAATACAGCTTTTATGTTTATCTCCAAGAATTCTTGCTTTTATTTCATTTTTGACCTTTGTGGAATTCTTTTCATGCCTGCCCAATAAAAGAGGTACTAATTTTATCCTTTTTTTTAAACATTTTTGTAGTTTCAATTGGGAGGTTTACTCAGAGAAATTACCTTGTGATATAAAGACAGAACTAACACAATTAACTACATCATTAGAATATTATAAAAGTCAGAAGACTGCACTGGGTGAAAAAAACTATCACCAAACTCATGGTAAACCCTAGGAAGTAAAGAATCCCCACTTCAAGTTTTTCTTCTTTTGGAAGGACAGGGGAGAATCAAGAATAGAACAGTGCAGTCTACTTAGATCTAAAGACTCTCCCCTGAGTTCTCAAAACTCACTGCCTTGGTAAAGAGATATTGAAGATACATGGCGATGCTGCCTCTAACTAAAATTCTACCCACTTCTGAACCAACACAGGGAGAGTTTGAGAATTAAAGGCTCCCAGGACTTGGTTTCACTGATGCATTTAATTCTCACGAGATTTAGCGTATCAGCTAAATACAATGGGAAAAGCAACACAGCTCAAGATATTTTCATCTGAACCACTTTACAGACACTACAGATTAGAATAAAATAGCTGTAACAAAACCAGCACCTAGCACGACCGGCACAAAGATATCTGAAAGGAAGCAAGTTAGATTCCTGCCACCTGTCAAGGCATTAATTACATTATCTGTTCCAGAGCTGGAAAGACTTAAGTTCATATAAAGTAATATGATACGGAACAAAGCTCCCAGCACAGTATGATGAAATGAAATCTTTCAATAGACAAACACAGCTTTGGTTGACAGTTTATTAAATGCGCTACATTTGCACCTTATTCTGTGGTTTTTTAAATCTCTCACACATGGGCTTAGTAAAAATGTACTTTATAGAAAACCATCTGCAAAACTAAAATAAAAATGCACATTTTACACACATATTAGATAAACTGCTGAAAACGTTAGGAATTACTTTATTGAAGGTGATCATGAAATATGAGGTGGCTTGATTTTATTAAACCTGACACCAGCCCATGACTTCAGAAATGTTCATGTTGAAATGTGGATGCAAAAATGTCTATTAGCGAAACTGTTTAATAGTGTTTGAGAAACAGGACAAAATAAAGAATTATTTTTCCTTTACAGACAATTTTCTAAATCCAGGCTCTACACCTTCTCTCTCTCTCATTCAGAGAATTAGTTGTGCAGACTGATGAGGCAAAAAATTCCTTAAAAAAAGCAAAACCAAACTAGAGCCTATTTACAAAACATGCAGAGAATGTTAAGTAGGTATGATGGCAGAACTGGTTAAAGGTAAACACAGCCGAGGGGCAGGAGGCACCTCTCTACCTCTGCACATCGAAGTCCTTCCCCCTTTCCCTCTGGGAGAAACACATTTTCAGGGCATGGACCGTAAAACAGCATACAATGCAAAGACAGAAAGAAACGAAGACGTTTGCAAACTCTTTATATTTCCAGCTGTTGAGACAATATTTCTGAGAGCGGAGGTTACCTCTAGCGGCGAAACCAGAGCCAGCTATTAAGCAGCCAGAAGGCTACAGTAATTGAATACATGACCATTTCTCTTTTCGCACGTTCTTTGTTCTCCTCTTCCAGAAGCTGTAGACGTCTATTTAGTTTGATTATCTAAGTGAAAAGCAATGAAAACAAAAAAACAAAATAGGAGCTTTAAGTAATCAGATTTGTATAAAGTAGTTTCATTTGTCAAAAGAATTATTACAAACCTGAGAAGTCTCACTTGGAGCAAAACAAAGAAAGCTACATATAGAAAAAAGTGTTACCCATGACAGTTTAAATTCACCTAAATTTTCTTCTCTTATGAGCTTCTGTCGCTCAACTCTAGTTGTTCATCTTTAACCTGCTTTTCCTGTTTCATGCCCTCTCTGTCCACCTCTCTGAGTTACCGAGATGATCCCACAAACTAACCTGTTAGAGTGGGCCCTGTGATCTGTCACCCAGGCCCTTCAGGACTAAAAGGCTAACCTCCTTACGTGCTAGGAGTGTCAGTGGTTGACCGCACTGTCCTCAGCCTTGGTCCTTACTGTGAGTAGCCCTGCACTGAACACTGAACAACTGCCTGGCCCGAGTTCATGCTCCCTTATGAAGGCAACATGCATCCAATGACCGGTTTGTGATGGGCTTAAGGGCGCAGGCTCCTTGCTCCAACTCTGAGGGGTCATCCCAGGTTCAGAGCACTTTATGGCTGTACTGGTTTGCTTAAAATGTTAAGATTCTTTGTTACTGGCTAGAATTACATCAATCTATTTTGGTAATACTGTTTTATGCTGATCAAAACATGCAAATACTGGTTTAATATATCTTTAATCAAAATGGGGAAGTCAATTTTGGTTTAATAAATAGTTTGATAAATACAATATTTTCATTCATGGGTTCCACTGGAGGGAAAATGATAAAATGTTAGGAAACACCACTTTAGGTATTACCTGAATGTAATTTAGGGTTATACATATATTCGGTACACTAAATACCTGTCGTCTTAATGAAGCTGCATCTACAACAGTCATGTCATCTGAAGTTCCTTCAATTGTGGAGTCTATATTTGAAATGCCATACCTAGCAATAAGAAATAAAAATACAATTTAAGATTAGAATAGAACTGTAAGCACCTGGTAAGCCACGGACTGTACTGTGTATTGCACAGAGAACTATTCAAAAGACTGGTATTACCAGTACGTATTACTAAAATGTTTACCAATCTAAATGGGTAAACACAGGAAAGAAAAGAGCTCAGGATAACAACTATCTACAATACTGAGAAAATGTCTTTGAAAGTTTGAGAATGAGCAGAAAGTCTCAGTAAAGATATCAATGGGAGACACTTTCCAACTCAAAGGGACTGGCACTGTTTAAAAGGATGCCTGGCTGAAAAGGTCTGAGAGCTGCTATTCCAGGACGTTAACGATACACAGTTCTTGCACCAACTGGTGTCCACGCATGGTCCCTCAGAAGTCCCTGCTCAGACTCATTGGCAGGAACACAAAGTAAACGAACTCTAGCTAAGAAAGTAAGACTGATCATTTTTAATCTCGCCTCCTCTTCTCACTGCCTCTTCTCTTGCCATTTCTACTCTTTACTTCTTATTTCCAATTATTTACTCTCTAGTATGTCTCCACAGAAGCAATTATAAAATCACCTGAACACATTTTGTCCCCACATTCAGATCCAGAACTGGCTCAATAATAATCAAGAGGCTGTGTATAAAACAATATTGGAAAGCCACTAAGACAAAATCTAGAGAAAACATTAAAAAGTACTTCTTGTTCAAATGCAGTTACTTCTAAAAGGGCACTGACTTTTAAATGAATGACAATAAACTTCTGAGAAACAAATACACACAAATGCTATTCTTCTCTGCCCAGGTTTCCACTTTAAAAATATATTTTAATTAGCATCTTTACTGAGATACAATTTGCATACAACTCACCTCACATGTTTATATCCTCACTACTTTAACCCTACATGGTTATTTCAGTAAAATGGCATATTAACTTGCCTGAATGACCAGATTATAAATAAACTGAATTAAAAAGTTACTTCTACGTAATCTACAGAGCTGTCACATAGATCGTGTATCCCTAGTACTTCAAGCAAGTCCCCATTTCAAAAGCACATGATCACACAAAGGTGTATGAAGAGAATGACACTTTTCATCCAGACGTATTGAAAATAAGTATATTCAGAAAATCTTGTTTCAAATGCCTTGGAAAATAATTCAAAAACACTTTAATAAATAAGTTACGTGAAATGGAATTTTTACCATTATAATCACTCAGTATCATCATTCTGAACGCTGATGGTAACTATGCAGGTTGCAGTGTCAATGATACCTCACGTCTTCTGACTCGACAGATAACTAGGACAATCTCTAAACGTTTCTTTTACGGCCAAATCAACTTGAACTTGCTTTCTCATTATCTGCCTCTTTCTTTATGGGAATAGAACAGATATACTGCAATACTGAGAGGATCTGCATCAAATAGAGAAGTGACTATTGAGTTAGTAGGTGCTGGAACTACAGATTTACAAACATCTGAGTTAATTACTCCTTTGAACATTAAACAGAATTATTGAAGGAGTGGAAAAAATAAGGGTTGAAGATTTTTCTTCTCCACATTTTATCCTCAAAATAAAACCTTTCTATTTCTTTGAGGTCACACATGAGATGATTAGGGGGAAAAATCAAACAACAGAAGCAACTGCTTCAAAGGTAAAGGGACGTGGGATGAACACAGAGAATGAAGTATAACTGAAAGGGACTTCTTACAGTTTAGATTCTAAACTAAGGTTTTAAACATCTGTAAAGGAAATCTTCATTGGCAAAAAAATCTAAGGATATGGCAAAACACTTAACTGTGTAATTCAACTTAAAACAGACGTGTTTTAAACTAAAACTTGTACCTAGCAAAACTAGAAACTCTAAGAAATTCTAAGTCAGATTACTAGCTGAAAATACTTTCACAGAAAATAAAAGATTACAAACTTATGAGAAATGTACAAGGAAAAACTCACAGTGGACTGAATTAATACTGTAAAAAGAAACAAGTCAGCAGAGTGGTTAAGGGACCATGAAGGACGCATTTTCCATTCGCTAACCTGAACTTAGTATTAATGAGAAACTGACGTTTCCGTCTCCTCTTCCTAAAAATGAATGTGCCAGCTTCTCATCGTATAAACACTGCTGCCAGTTTTAAATCTACTGCTACGGATAACACGTTTCTGCTTAAAATAAAATTGGCTCTGAAAAAAAAAATCACAGTAATGGCATCTGTGAATACCAACCAGTTTTTTTTGTACTCTAGAAGCTGGGAAATGAGGATTTTGGCACTTGAGAACTTGAAGTATTTGTGTGTACCATCCTGTTTGTCCTTATGTGTGACAGGAAGAAATAACCACTCATGCTAAGCACATCTGAGAGTATGAAAGGGGAAAAATTTAAGAGAGAAAAGCTTAACCAAGAGATGACAAAAGTTCTTAAAACTAAATTCCCTTTCTAAACATTTACCTTCCTGGATGGTCAATGCTGACTTCCCCCAATTTAGGATGTTTTATAGACACATTTATCTACACACTGAAAGTGACACTGTCGACAATTAACAACTAAAAATAAAATGCTGGACAGAACTCCCGGCAACAATTAATGCTTGTCCAACAAGATGTAAGATTATTTCTTCTGTGTTTTAAACATGATCTTCCAGAAGCTATTACAATTGTATTTAAGAACAGTATCCCAGATGTTCACGTGACACAGTATCAGAACTACTGAGTTTTTTTCTTTAGACTCTGGTGGCCAGATGTCATGAATGGTTAGACTCACTGTTCTCAGATAAAAGCAGAATGTACTCAGACAGAAAAGCTGCAGAAATTCAAGCTGTAATATAAATGCATGGCTCCTACATGCATTATGTCCTACAAAATACATATTCAGTCAACTATTCACCCTGGTAATTACAAAGTCTCAAAATTTACCTGACGTTGTCATGATGGGGATTAGAAGTGGCGGCAGCAGACCCACCGCGCAACACAGGTCTAAGGCAGGTTTTGGCGGGAGAAGGCACAAGACAGGATCAGGAAAGAGTGGTAATGAAACAAAAGCAAAAACAAGACAAATAAATGTCAAATAGGATTATATTGTATGTTTTGATACAATACAATATATTTCAAATACTTTAAATATCTTTGTCTCTCCTTCATTTTATGATTTTCATAAATTAAATATTTTCAATGGGTTAAAAAACACAGGGAATCTGCATTTATGTAGCAAAATAACATCAACATATAAAATAATTTTGGGGGGGTTATCATATATTAATCTATGAAATTCAAGCCAGAGGACAACTGGTTTAAAAAGTATAATTTCTCTCTTCTAGTCAGCAAAACATCACCAACAACTTGAGAAGCATGTGAAGAACCGGTTAGTAGCACCTGCATGATCATGGTTGCTCATCTGGTATCAACAGCTCTACCTTGAACACTAAAAATTTCAAGTGACTCCCATTTCCCACAATTCCTTGCCTCCCGCCTCATGAATTTTGCTGAGTGTCTGGTATCTCAATGTAGGTGTGTCTCATTCAAACCCTCAGCTCTCAAGAGCAAGCTCAGTTCCAGAGCTGAGGAGATGGGGGACATGTTCGGAGCACATACTGCAGCACATCACAGGAAATGCAATCAGACACTTGAGTCCGATGCTGAGAGACAACCAGGAGTGACACACAGGGCTGCTGGAAATGAAGACTGGGCGCACTGGAAAACTTCGTGGGGATTTTCACTGAGTACATACTTGGTTTCTAGAGGACAACTGGTTCTCTACCTAGGTAAGCAGTCACCTTGCCAATAAATAGTACTTATTTTTTAATTAGAAACAAAAGCTCTGTGTGATCACTGGTCAATTCTCCAAAAAGTAATTGGCAATGTTTACTAACCAGAGAAAGGAGGCTGAGGTACAGAATCCATATTAGGATTTTAAAAATTATTACATTCTATTTTGAATGTCTCATTCTCTATGGACTGATCAGGTTTTGCCTGAATTTAAGTATCAAGACAATTCTTACAGTAAACACTGAATACCAAATGCACTAGTTTTTGTCTGTAAGGGGGTACAGTTATAGAATTTTGGTTACAATACTAATTGCTATTTTCTGTCAAGTCAATTTATACAAGAAAATTTTAATGTTTAGCTTGTATGTTTCCTCAGTGCACTACTGTACTTAAATTTCTGGAGCCTGAGGATAAGAGATTCAGAGACTTTTGAGGGAGCTATGTTGGACTTCTAATTTGTTGGCTGAAGTACAGTGAGAAATCACATGTGCTTGAGACAGGTTTTAAAGTCATTCCATCCTACTAATTAATTTATTCTGTGACATTAGGAAAACTTACTTAACTACAATCCTACATCACACTAAACTGAAAAAGGTTAACTAAATGAAGCCACAGCTGTATACTACCTAACGCTTAAAAAAAAAAAAAACAAATGCTCAAAAGGATCCACCATATTCAACATATTCCACCACAGAGATCTCCCTTTTACAATGCAGAGCCAGAAAATAATACAGTTACCTTTCACAACGTATTTCATTTTGTCTTCTCACACTGGCAATTGACACACATAATATAAAAGTAAATTAGACAGGTATTTGGCAAAGTTAGAAACTTCATTCAAGTACCACTTTCTACCATTAAGTATGAGTTAATACATTAAAAAATCTTCTTAAGTTTGATATGTTTAACAATATGTTTTGTAATTAAAGTGGCAAAGGGAATGAGATCCAAGGCCCTCCAAGTCCCAGCAGTAACTTGTATACTGACTTTTTGTGTAAATAAAGGGTCTGCCTTAGTAGAAGAGGTTTCTTTGCTTAAAAAATGGAAACCACTACAGTAAATGAACAGTTTGGGGCACCAGGAATTATACACATTTAAAGAAACGACACATTACAAATAACAAACACTGATTCAACTGCAACTTTGTATTTCAACAACTTGTAAGTAATATGCTTATATGGATACTTGCAAAAAATATAAATTATTTACACAACAGTTTCTTATTCTGTTCAAAGCTAATACAGTCTGCTAATGAAATACTCAAGCCCCTTCTAAAAATAAAATTTAAGCACATTAAGCATGACTAATCTGTCAATATTTAAATAATGTTCTTATATAGGAACTAAGTTACTTTTAAAAAATATTAATATTTTGCTTTGGACAATGAGATACGGAGCTCCAGCAGGTGTCAGAAGACGTGGGCATTTCATAACTAGCTAAGGACTAAACAGTATTTTAAATCCACAGGACACGGCTGGTGCTTGTCCCAGGTGTTGGTAAATTTTTGATACATCAGTTTTCCAAATGCACAGCACTGACCTATATAAATGATCTTTTCTAATAAATACCTAGGATTTAACTTTATTTTCATGTTGAACTTGGTTTTAGATCACGTAAGTTCTCACACGATGAGAAAACAAAAATATAATACATAAACCTTTCAACAGTGTCTGTCAAAGTATAAACTAAAAATAGTTCTTACGTTGAGCACCTGTGAATCTGCATTATTTTATGACAACAAAACAGGCATTAAGGTTTTCTCTTTCTTTATGCCAAATAATTCTAACTTAATTATACCTAATCCGATGGCATAAACCAAAGATAAGATACTGCATTAGCATAAGAGCCACGAGTAAAAAATAGAAAGGAAAAAATAATGTACAGAGCAAGGAACATAAAAGCACTTAAAGCTTTATAATCATGCAAGAAGAACATTATCCAAATTTCACATTCCTACTTCTTGTATCAGATAAGTCATGAGAGACAGTTCTCATGGTACAAATAAAAACCAATTTGGCACCTACAATCTAATTAAATCCTGTTCAACACTTAGATCATAAGAGATTTAAATGCAATAGAGAAAAAAAAAACATTTCAAAAATGAAAGCATCCAAAAAGACTAATGAGAATCTGATCCTCCAGGTGCCAAGATGTGTATCCAGGAGCAAAGAATTATTAAACAACTAATTCATGAATTATTAAAAATCTCACTTAAGTGAATAAAATAATTCCTTCCCAGAAAAGGGATTTTAAAGTTATCAATGTATTACAATTTTTAAAAATCACTTAAAGCTCAAAATAGTTTTTTTGTAAAGTAAATTTTACATTAGTAAGATTTCTGATTTTGTACTTTTGAACTTGAGGCAAAATTTTTCCTTTATGGAGAAAAAAAATCCAACTGTTTTTACAAGTTCCATATACTGGACTGACCTGTGTATGTGTGGGAGGAGGGGATAAATAATTTTCATGCACTGGGGCTTTGTCATTGAGCTATTATTTAATCTATACAGGGTTTATAAATACCTTTCTCATTCAGCTATTTTCACTGTAATAGGATTTGATATGATATAATTTGACCTGATAATCCGGTCTCTTTTAAGGCTCTATTATAATTAAAAAGTTAAAGAGGATACCTGGTGAAGAATAAATCTATTCTAAGGAGGCAGGAGAAAACAGTCCTTTGGAAATATTAGTCAAGTGGCAGGTACTTCATATTCAATACCATTTTAAGGGTCTCCTGCAACACTAAAAAAACAATTTGAGGCCATTATCCCAATATCTTAAATAAAGACAGGCGAGGAGGGAAGAGTCCTCACGAGAATCCAGAAAACTGGGTAATATTACTATTACCCGTTCTTTTTTTCAATAGATGAAGAAAATGAGGCCCAGAGAAGCTTAGCAACTTGTCCAAGGCTGTGGTGCAGCCAGCTCTCCAGTGGGCTGGATCAAGACTGAATCTGATTCCCTGAATCCATTTTTTCCTTCTAAACCATGCTGCTTCTTACAGGCTCCAAATATTCTGAGACAGTCCTTGAAGCTCCAAAGAGCACAAGAGGGACCCCAAACCCTTGGGGAGGGGGAGATATATACACACACCTGCACATGAATACATGTACATGTAATCCCCCCGCCATGAGCTTCTCTTTCATGCTCTTTGGTGCAGCTGTAAGTCCGTGGGCCCACAAGAACACCACTAGAACTCAACAGAGCAGCTGGACAAACACTTATCAAATATGGTCAGACACCTAGGGCTCGTGTGAGGCTCAAAAGCACTTAAGAAGAAAAAGTTTGTTCACAGCAAGCCATCAGACATATCGGTTCCTAAGGTAAGAGACAAGGTTTTCTGGAAGGACCAGCTTAATTTATTGGGAATTCTTCAACATGCAAAAATTAACAATCTTAGAAAATGATCATGAAAATTCACTGACACAGAATCACTAGATAAAATGTCTGTAGTTGCAATGTAACTAATTGCATCTTTTCTACATTATGCCAAAAAAAGCTCCCAAATTTCATTTTTTTAAAAATACTAGTAATGAAGCAAGGATAATAAAGTATTTGAAATAATGGCAAAAAATTTATTTGTATGAACAAATCTAAGAATACTACTACTGATTTTACTTTGAGATACTCGTAAGTCAAACAAGCTGCCAATACTGAAAAAAATCAGTATTAAAAAAAAAGACAGTAACACCTGGGATTTTCAACGCAGGGCTAGAAATCCCTAGCTGAGAGGAAAAAAATGTCCTGGCAGCTACACTGACATCATCCTCTCAGATTTGCTTCTTTAATCCAAACACATTCGTATCATAAATGATTAAATCAGAAGACTTTTTGCAGAAAATCAGTACAATTCAGTCCAGTATCCCACACTGAAACCCTCAGCATAACCCAAAATGAAATCAAGTACTTAGAACAAGTCAACAAAGCCTGTGAAAGAAATCATTGCACTGCTCATGTACAGTTATTATTAACTGAATCCTTTCCCTGGCTGAAGAGAAGCTAACAGAACCTTGTGAAATGTGAATTTTGGACAATAATTTCAAATTAAAAGAAAGCAAAGCAAGCTGTTTAAAACCACTGGATCTTAGAAAGAGACAAAAGTGCAAACAGAAAAGGAAAACACCACAGTCCACTAACAAGGGGCCAAAAAATATGCAATAAAGCTGCAAGAATCACTGACGGCCAATCACCTGCGATTTTCATCCAGCACATCCAAGATCTGCTGGTAAGCCCTACGAGTAGAAGACTGGATAAGCGACAAAATGCCACGGGCAGAGGAAAGATTAGCTCCATCTTCAGGTAACATACGGGGAGGACAAACCCGAACCTGTTGTGGCGATGGTGTCACACTGTTTACAGAAGCACAGCAAATGAAGAGAAAAACACTCGAGTCAGACTTCTATAAAACTTCAGCTGAGCAGTTTCCCCAAACACTCATATTTAAAGAATTATCTGAGTTTTCTTGCCCATTTTTCCCACCCTTCATTTTCCCCTAAAAAAGTCAAACCAAAGTTAATAAACATATTAAATTGTTAAACAAACAAACAAAAAAAAGACGACCATGCAGCATCTGTAATGGTGTAGCTTTAAACATCAGATTAAACACACTGAATATGAACGAAGAACTTGAAGAGGGGAGAGAACTACAGCAAAGAGCATATTCAACCCCCAGCTCTGGAGATGCAGCGCTCTTCATTTAGCGTGAGGATTCCAGTTCAGCACACCAAACCTCTAACAAGCACCACTGCACTGCAGCTTACGGGTGCCCGGAAGAGTAAGAGAACTCTGGTACACAGGTGCCAAAGTTCACATGCGTGAATCGGAAGTGATTCCATGAAAATGTCATTTCAAACACTTCACAAACACAATGAAGTAATCTGAGTTTACGACGACTAAATTTAAAGACGAATTAAAGTTTCAGAAAGCTAACGAAAGCATTTTGATTACTGAGTTATATTAAAGCATGGGCTTTCTAACTCAAGGACTAAAACATGAAACTACTCCCAATTCTGTGAATACAATGAAAAGGCGAGGATACTTCTTAAATTATTCAGATGGATGTTAAACCATTTTGGGGTTTCTCAATGACAGTAATCTTAGTAATTCTTTCACATGAGCTGAGATTCATGTCTTTGGCACCACTGACAGTGCCTCCAAAAAGCTGAACACACTTGAATAAAGCAATTTTACAGCTCTAACCTCAAACTCTTACTTTTAGTACAGTCAGAGATCTGTTTGATATTAGAGCGTGACCAGCCACACAAGGTGTTGATATATGGACTTGGCATCTGGTTTGTTACAGGAAGAGGACTATGGGACGTGTGCTCAGTAACTTGCCTCAGTGTCAGGGAAACACACCTCACACTAAACCTCATCCTTGGTATTATGTCCAGAACAATGAAAGTGGAGCAGACAGCGAACAACTGAAAAGATAAACTCTTTAATTTCAATTTGTATAATCTTTCCTAACTTAACATGTATTTGTTTGGAAATCATAAAATAAGTGGGATAATGTTTGAAAGGATAGCTGTCATCTAATATTATTCCAGGAGTCCCAGAATATAACAACAAAATCTTCTCCACAATCTTGTCAACAACTCTGAATGTCTTGATGATCCCAAAGCAAGAAGTACAATAAATATGAAAACCATGTTTTCGAACGACTATTTAAAAGAGAAAGATCTAAGCCAAATCTTGGCATACTGAGAAATTAATCTGTCAGGGCTGACTCACCATAGGAATTAGGCCTAATGGTGTCAAGATAAAAGCAAATTTTCAGACGCAGGCTTCATGGATGGTTACCCTAAATGTCTGTCCAGAGACTAAGAATCTCCTGGCATGCATCCCTATCTATCTATCTGTCTGTCTGTCTATCTATCTATCTATCTATCTTATCAACATCAATACACATAGCTTATCAACTGGCCCATGTACTTGGCAAAGCCCACACTAGGTAGCCAAGAAGAGTAAAAGAATCAGTTCATCTGGGACTCAAAGTCTAAGTACTGGCCTTGCACTCAGAATTCTCTCTAGGCAGCACAAGAAAACTCTGAAGCTGTTGTTCTTTGTGAGAAAGCAGACTGAATTCATGTTAGAAAAGTGTCACCAGAGGTAGGAATAAAACGGCTCGTTCTGCGTCAACATAAACAGGCAATCCATCTCTCACTCTTGACAGCGGTGCCAACAAACCTGGCTAATTTACTTCAGCAAGCTTTAAAAGACTAATCAGTAGAGTATCTATTGATATAATTAATTAAACTTTTTGTCTTCCTATTTTAGGGCTTAAATTGAAAACTTCACATATTTTGTATTTACAAAGATGCTAAAGTCTGTAATGATCAATATTTAGAATTATAATCTTTGAGCACCAATGTCGGCAAACTGAACCAAAGTCCACGAAAAAAGTTTAACGGATTTTTGCCCTATAAATTTAAAAGGAAAGAAAGCCTCCTTTGCTAGAATTCACTTTGTCAGAAATAAGCATTAGGAATTAAGTTCTAAAAGTACAAGTACTTCCTGTCCATACAAAGGAAATCAGGTCGTCACACACAAACTACTTTCAGATTAACTGCTAAGAATTCTTCAGATGGAATGTGCAGTAAACTGAGTTTTAAAAACAATCTATAAGACCACTTTCAATTCTAAGATTCTATAATCATATAAAATTGGAGTATGTTAATATATGACATAAACCCTACATGGTCCTCAATTGTAGCTTAAGAAGAAAAAAATTTATGTAGAAAGATAAAAGTTAAATTAAGTCTTCATCAATACTAGCAAAGATTATTTCATCAAAGACTAGCATCAAAAACATATTTGGGTTTTGGGTTGTTTCTCAAAAGAAATTAAAGTTTCAAAGATTAGTAAGAAATTTAACTTTTCATTAATTTATATGGCAATCTTTCATAAATAGCAAAAACAGAGTAGGAAGTATTTTATACACTGATGACCACTTTGGGCAGCATATGTATAGATTAAATGCCCTTGACCTTTAATATTTATTTCTATCTATAGGTAAGTTGAATGATTAAATCATAAGATAACCATGGTTACCCTAATTAGAAGAAATACTCTAGCAATTCTTTCCTTTTCAAAGCTTTAAGCAGTCTTGAAAATATTTTTTACAAACAAACAAATTTAAGAACAAAAAAGAATAAACCCAATTTTGGCAATCAGTCTGCTGCTGGCTGAGATGCCCAGCACGGCATCAACTGTGGTGGGAAATAGGGTTTTTAGAGCTGAGTCTCATCTCTGTCCACTCATCCACCCAACCAAAGTGGAATGAATTTTTGTTTTTTGTTTGACATATGAACTATTATGAAAAATAAAAAAGTAAACATATTGCAAAGGCACTGAGATTATTTAAGCAAACATTATAATATTAGTAATTAAATAAAAATGCATGTTGATAAATTGATACTAGTAATGTTACAAAACATCAAAAACTCAATTTTACCTTTTTCTTTTATAAAAGATTAGGACACTTGGAAGAAAAGCACTTATGTTTACCATGTTATTTCATTAGCAACAGCTCTCTCTCATGCTTACATGAAATCTTACTGAATGAGCGTTGAGTAAACAACACTAGCCAACGTGAGAACTCAAATTTAAATGAAAATTTACTCGGCATAACTATGTCATTATTACAACGTAAGTGCAGATTTAAACACCTCTTTCCCTATGGGTTTTCATAGGAATAGTGTTTCTCAAACTGTGAGGATAATCTCTTTGGTAAGGCTCCAGCCTTTTCCAAAAATACAGTAAAGGTCAAACAGTAAAAAAGTGGACAAAAAATTTTCACTGAAACACAAGTTTTGTACCATTTCTCTTGAAATTTTAAATAGAAAGCTTTCATTTGTTGCCACAAAGGCCATTCGCTAGTTCTCAGAAGCATAAAAAGAGAATCAGAGTAAGAGAAAAATCATTGGTTGCCAGACTGACTCCTGTGGCGTAAGAACTCCACTGGCTGCTCAATTCCTACACTGCTCGCCAAAGTGCCCCACCCACCTCGAGGGGCCAGTCACTCCTACACCTCATTTTATCACACTTACAGAAACAGTGGGTTTAATGATCTCAAAATATAATCTTCCAAAGCTTAATTTTAATCTATGGAATTAAAAAAAAAACTTAAATGATAAACTACACTTAAGACTCCTTCCTCGTTCATTCTGGGTCATAATAAACAAGAAAAGATAACATGCTAAAATTTTTAAAAAGTCGGGGATCACTGCACCTGGTTCAACTGAATCTACCGAGGACTAGTATGCCAACCAAAGCAAAATGAAGAAAATGGAAAAGGAAGTTTGGTCCTTATGTGTAAATCATTCCATCTTGCTTTCACCATTATACCCCAGATCATACATAACTTCCTTAGTCAGTCTGGTTATTTTTTTTTCTTAACAAAATGTGTGATGACAGCTTGAGAAATCCTGAAACAGAGGTACTAAAAGCCAAACAGTAAGAGAATTAGGGCATTATATGCCAGTTACCTGGTGAAACATTAGTACAACATAAGCCTGCAAAATTAAAACTCCTACTTGTGAAAAGCAGAGCAGATAAAATCTTACGTGTACTCCGGTGCAGAAATCGGTGCCTGGAACCTTGAAATTTTATTTCTCGGGGCAGAATCTGATCTGTGCCACCTTAAATAATAATTATGCTTCTTTAACATATTCAGCTTTTATAACACAAAGAAAAAGCTAAATAGGAACGATTCTACTAGTCAATCATTTTGTGTCAGTAGCTGACAATAATTCTGTTGTCTCTTGAAAGTGATTAAGAAAACAAAGGCCAGTGCTTCTGCTCCGATACCCACATGCACCTCTATTCTTAAAGCCCAGGAATAAAATATGTGGAGGCAGACAGAGGTTCATGCACAATGTCACACAATTAATCTCAAATAACAAAGAAAAGACTGAAGTAGGTAAAGACAGGAAGAGTCTACAAATTACTCTGGTAGAGGCAAAATAAAGTTGCATTGTATTAATAGTTTCTTCCTTAACACATTACCAACATTATATATAATTTGCTCATTATGTAAAAATTTTAAGGTTAATTAAATGTAGACTCTTAAAGATGAATACAATCATGTTATTAAGACAATGGAAAAGAAAGTGAAAGGTTACATTATTAATAAAAAGATGGTTAAGTATCTTACCGTGACATGGTAAGATACATAACTACTAACACAAAAAGTATGGTAAAGTAATGTAAGCATTTCACTGTGAAAAGGTATAGTTAAATATTCATGATATTTTTACTAACAAAAATTAAAACGTGATACTGTTTTATTAAACAACTAGAAAATGACATTAAAGCAACTTAAAGAAAAATCAAATACTAGTTACCTTTGTTAATCTTTTCTGTTATGAGGAACTTACATTATTGGTAACTGCTTAAGTATCTATGAACTAATCATTTACTCTCTACTTCCCTGGGCTGCTTTTCATACATGACAGAGCTGTTTCCCTTCTCTTCAACTGAACTCAGCTCTCAGTAACATACACTTTGTGAGGAAAAAGCAAAACTGAGGCTATAGTAAAACAGCCCTGGTTTTTATTTCACTATTGGTAAATTTCAAAGTAAGTAAGGCCCTAAATAAACTATATATTTCTATAATAGAAGAGTTTTAGTTGCCTTAAAAAAATTACAAATCGAAAGAAACGAAAGCCCTTAGGTGTATGTTTAATCACTCTGAGAGGGGAACTAAATATCAAGGAGCTACCTTTATCATAAACTATGCAGCCTTTTCACCACTTGTGTGATATATTTGGAAATATCCATGGGCCAGCTGATATCACTGCCAGCCAGGTACCTCCAGGAAACGTATCATTATCATTAAAAAATTCATATTAATAATGGTTGAACCTTTCAGATGTGCCTTCCCTGAGGAGATATATATTCTTTTAAAGTTACTATATCCCTATATAACTCTTCAGAGTAACTGTAACTACTTTAGGAGACGTTTCTAGATTCCCCAAGAAATCAGAGCAGTTGACAGTTCTTTGCATCTAACACAAAAAAAGACCCCATCCCCATCAAAGCCCCTTCTGCATCTCTATACTCTTTAGTCAAGTCCAAATTAGAACTTGATGTGGTTTAACATAAATGGCTTAACTGTATTGTGCTTAAGTTACTTTGTATATACATTTAAACATTTTGCTTTTATCTAGATTTGTAAGCTTTGTGAGGGACGTACCTTCTTCTGATTCTCTGGAAATTCCCAGAGAAGCTAACATGATGCTTGATATCAAATATGGTTCATGATAAATGAGCTCGTGAAAAGTGACTGAAAACTTAATAAGGAGAAACGTTCATTTACATAAACAATCTAAACCATCTATTTAAAAAGTTACAATCACCAATGGCTTTGAGACTTAAAATTCTGACTGTTTTAAAAGGGGTATTTTATTATTAAAGACCCATTAATTTTAATAAAACAACAAAAAGCACTTGCCCAATTTAAAATATCTTATAGTGGGGTAGCTTTAAGATCAGGGTATGATAATATAACCAAATGAGAAAGAAAGGTTTACACAAACAGTCCTTTAAACAACGTACTTAACTTTTCGGAAAATGAAAGGCATCTAAGAATTCAATGACTCAGTAGGCAGAGAGCTGAAAACTAATCCTGTTCACACGAGTCATTAGAAGCAGAGCTGCAGAGGGCTAGATGTTTGACAATCGTATGACAAATTGAGTAACTTGAAAATAAGTATGTTTCCTTAATAAAGTCTCTTCCTTTTTTTCCCCCAACCTACATGTTAGATAAACACTTTTGAAGGCTGCACAGAACTGAGCATTTACATTTATCAATTTTTCTTAAGCATATTTTAAAGGAGGTCCTTTAAAATAAGCAAGTCATACTTACAGAAGACTACCATACACACAGAAGAGGATAACAGTACTGAAAAATTCTCACAGCTAACAAAATGGTCAGATTTTAAGGCCATGTAGAGTGTAAAATAAAAAACTGATGTAAATGTTATTCATAATGTAAATTATTTTTTTCTTTAGTTTCTTAGGCATAAAACATATACACATTTCCTCCTTTTTCTGAATATTCGGGGATTAAAAAAAGACTTAAATTATTTAGAAAAGGATGTGACAGACAGTATGTGGAGAAAACTTATGAAGGAGACACAACACTTAGTGGTTCTACTCACATGGAGTCAGTTCTGACCAGCTGTCCGTTTTGGCGAACAGCATTTTCACTCATAGAGCGCTCTCTTTTTAGCCTGCCAACTGCACGGATCTGCTAGGCACAAAGAAAGGGAAAGGAAGAGAAAATATTCTTAGTAGCCTAGTAGCTGCTTAGCATCAGAAGAATCTTAATCCAAGGCTATTCACAAAATTTAAAAAGAACATAACCAGGAATTGCCGCCAGGTATGCATATTAGACATGTTTTAAAAACCCTACTTAGTATAGTGCAGATAAATTTACAAATGCTATCTTCTTCAAGAAAAAAATTAATTTCAGTTTAAGTATTAATCTTACTTGGTACAATTATTGATATTTCTATTACAATTTATACTATACACTTATATTATTTAAGAACAATTTACAACAGTTTTTAAAGACACACATACTACAGGAATAAACGTTCCTGGCTTCTGAGTTTAAAAACAAATTCAGAAGGTTGGATATTTGCTAACTAGACAGAAAAAAGTCTTAACTAGCTTAAAGGTCTTGGCATTCTAGAAACAGCCACAATCTTCCATCTCACATGCTCTTCTCAGAAAAATGTTATCATTGACCTCTTTCCATTAAGAGATGGAATCTATGCTTCCTTCCCTCGAAATTGGGTGGGTGATCCCTCCTGCAGATGATGCAATGTGACTTCTGATGTTAGGTCATGAACAATAAGGCTTCTGCCTTTCCCCTTTCTCCCGGGGGGAGCTATTTGTGTTTGGAACAATGACACCACTGGAACCCCTTTTTGGTCGGGGGAGGTAGGTCTAGCGTCACAGTCTCTTCTTCCTCATTCACACTGCCTAAGAACACGGAGAACTGTCATGATTTGGGCATCTCAGCATATGCTGTACAATGATTACGACAGAGTACAGGATTTGGGGGAATCTCACTTGAGTATTCTGAGTAGCATCGGAATGAATCACCCATGTTATCAGCACTCAGGGCCTTATTTCAACCCATTTCCTAGAAGCTACTAGATCTAATTCTTCCCCTTTTCTCCTCTGCTCATGAGCTGATTGCCTCTTAAGGGCCACGTGATCCTTCTACGGACTGAAACACAGATCATCTTTGCTTTCTTCGTATCAGGCAGAACCCTCACTCCAAGACAATATTATTCACAGCTCTTACAGTCTTCCCCCCACCCATACCACTGTGAAGAAACTGTCTCACTGCATAGTGTCTTACACAAAAGCTCAAAAAATGTCTGATAAATAAATATAATTCTGCAAGTACCTTAGTGTCTTTTCATTATGTGAATACTCAAATTTAGTACTTTTCACCAAGTAAATACCTAGAATGTCTACACTGGCATCTATGAGTGGATTATCTCAGTCACTCCAGCAGAAACTTCCAACCTAAGAAAAGGCTGTACCTAGTGCTAGGAGACTGCACTCCCCTAGGATACACGGGTGATTTACCCTCTTAGGAAAGGCATATATGACAAATGAAAGGCAGTCTCATTATCAGTAAAAACATATCTTTGCACATTGTCTTGTATTAGCCCCATGACAAAACAGGAATTCACAACTTCTAATGAGTAAGTTGCAACTACAGAAATCACAGAAAAGAAGTTTTACAAGATTGGCTCTGAATCAACAGCAAAGGCAAGATCTGAACTTAGCTAGTAATGTCTCATTAGTCCACATACCGTCACATATAGGCAGTAACAAACTCAGTAGAAACTTTTCAGCAATCGGGGAGGAACAGGTAGTGTTAAGGGAAAAAAGAGCTTTCTTTGCCCTGTTTGCCAGATTGCTTTTATAACAAAGTGATGCATCAGTTTTTTTTCCACGCTAAACTTCCCAAATTGTCCTGTACTGCTTAAAGTGTAACTCCTAGCCATAAAAGCTCTCCTTTCAAGACTACATGAATGTTAATGATTTCCACAGAATTGTCCATTTTCCTGAAATACAATATTTACATTAAAAAAAATAGTACAGTGTCTGATCTGGGGTATCTGTAAGCCAAAATTTATAGTAATCAATGGTCCACGCAGGAGGATTTCATTACATATGGCTAGTAATATGATTTATACAGCCTTTTAACTCCTCTTCAACTTTTGCTTTGTCTATGTTATTTCAGATCCAGTTGATGTTAGAACTCTAGTACTTACTTCCTCATTTTGAGGGGTTGGAAGAGGTCTTTCTAAATCCAGAAAATCTAGTGGTCTTTCACTTAGTGTAAGCACACGAGGTGGTGTTTTTAGTGCCAGAGGTTTAAAGGGAGTTGACTGTATAAGGTCAAGATCTGCTGGTCTTGAAAATGGAATGTCTTCGTTATTTCCTGGGGATAAAAAAATAAAATAAAAAGGAAAAGAGATTTTTAAAAGATACTGCTTTTATTAAAATGTATACCCCCTAGAAATGGCTAAAATTAAAAAGACTAACAGTACCAAATACTGGCAAGGATGTGGAGCAACTGAAACTTTCATGTGTCACTTATGGGAACAAAACAGGGTACAACCATGTCACAAAGACATGTACATGAATATTCATAGCAGCTTTATTCCTAATAGCACCAAAAAGGAAACCATCAACCAACCAGATGGCCATCAACAGGTGAATGTTTAAGTAAATTGTGGTGTATCCACACAGTGGAATATTAAGAGTAAAATGGAATGAACAACTTAGATATAGGCAACAATATGGAAGAATCTCAAGGACATTACACTAAGCAAAAGAAGCCAGCCAATGATATACTTATCATTCCACTCATATGAGGCTCTAGGAAAGACTAATCTAGGCTTTGGTTATAAAAAGGAGATCATGGTTGTCTGGAATTGAGGGGTAGGAACTGAATGAGATGCAACAAAAGGAAATCTATTCTTTTTTTTTTTTTTAAGCTGGGAGGTAATTAGGTTTATTTATTTAAATGGAGGTACTGGGGATTGAACCCAGTACCTCATGCATGCTAAGTAGGTACTCTACCACTGAGCTATACTCTCCCCCGGAAAAGGAAATCTTTTGAGGATAATGAAAATGTTCTATATCTGGATTGCAGTAGAGGTTACACAGGAGTATACATTTGTCAAAAATGTATACTCATCAGGCTGTACACTTAAAAATTACACACATTTTATGTATATAAATTATACCTCAGTAATTAGTTGAATTATATAAAAATACTGTCTGAAATTTCAGACTATCGTTAATGTATAAAATTTTGAAGAAAATGTAAAGTTGCATTTCCCAGCTCCTTTGCTAAGTATTCTGAAAAACCCAAAAGTTGTCATTAAAATACATAAAACGTAAAATACCTGCTACAACAATTCTCTCTGGAACCTGCATGATCACACTAGCAGTTGAAACGCCTTCTTGGAATCCTTGTTCCAGGTCAGCATTTGGTGGTGCTACCTTTAATTTTTCCGGGACCCTCATTCGCTGACTAATACCTTCGGTATATTCCATTTCATACTGAATTCGACTAATTTCCGCCATTTCAGCAGGAGTAGGAGAAGGAAATGTTGCCCCACTCACTCTGTGGGCAAAAAATAAAGATGGGGTGACTGAGTGTTAAAATGTCAGTTTTCTCTACATAGTGAAGTCAGAAGACAATACCTTATAGAGAGCACATGGAGACTTCTCATTTGTGAGAACCAAACACGCACAAAGGAAAAATAAAAGACTGAAGAAAACGTTTTCCTCAACATAATGCCTTCTCTTAGTAGAAACTGCACCTTGAGGATATTGCTTAGGAGCAAATTTTAAAAATTATTGTATAACCACAACACAAATGCGCACCCACCTACCCTCTCTTCCTCTCTGCATAAATAGATAGGCATGCTGCTGATAACTCAAACATACCTAAAATAAAACTTAAATGGAAATTTCCTAAACAATTATTTGAAGGAAAGCCGCTAAGACTTGATAAAACTGAAATCAGAAATTGCTGTCATGCATGAAAAAATAAAACCTTTTCATGATGAAAATCAGGCTCACAAGTTAAATAATGTTAATTCTAAATTTACTAAAAAAAAGAATAGGCAACTCCCTGAAAATCACAAAACACAAATTAAAACTTCTCTTACTGAATGTACATCTGATGACTTAGAGGAAATGAATACCAAATATAGAATATGCATTAATAAATCCTTAACGGATGCATTCATTTTGAGGGACTGGAAGTTTCATACTATTAATTTGTAATTAATATCATATTTACATGTATGTTTTTAAAAAAACATGACATGCCTTCAAGGGGAAAGACAGTACAAATGACTGAGTAACCTTCTAAATTAGAGAAGGATCCATGCTCCAGGGAAATGCAGTAGAAAGGAAGCTGCCCCAAAATACAAAATGTTGATAAAAGTAAAGGAACATGATGAGCCTATGGAAATCAGCTTTAAAGCCACCATGTCTCAAGCCTATAACACCAGCTCAACTGAATAAAATGTCACTGACCTTCCTAGTGGTGTGTCATTGCTTGTTCTTTTACTCATTTTTAACACAGTAAATACACGTCTATAAATAGCTATTAAAATACTGCTACCCTGTAGTTCAGTTTACTTTACACAACAACTCCCCTACAGATCTGAACTTTTTTGGAGGTGTACATAACAACACGGACACTGCTTTTCCAGCTGTAAAAAAGAAAGAATAAAAATCAGTATTTCAACAATTCATTTCATAAGAAAACTATGAATAAAAGTAAATATCTACTTAAAATTATTTTTGGACTTCAACCAAAACTGATTTTCAAATTTCTCCTCAAAAGAGTTATTCTATACCTCAAAAAACATAAATAATATTTTAAGCATAGTCATTGTTTAATGATTTTGCAAACAGGACAAAGAAAAACTAACCAAATGTATATACAAATGTGAAGTTGGATTACAAGAAAACATTTTGCCATAAAACTCCTCTAATCATTATATCTTGAAAGGGAAAAAAATCCATTTCTTTTTAAAACTATGTACAAATGAAGAAATCACAAAGACAATGTAAAGAGCAGAAGTAAATATATTTGAGGCAGCCTAAAATTTGATGTACAAGTAATAGTTTCTTTAAAAGGAAATAACTTCGAAAGCTGTATCATCCTAAATTTTCAGCAAAGGATATTCTATACAAATAAGGTTAAATAAAAATTAAAGCCAGTATAAGTGTAAGCCATAGCTGGGGTATTTCTTAAATTCCACGTCAGAGATGTATGACACATCTTCAACTCCACCTCGCTGACATGCTTTGGAGAGTTCTTAGAAGTTGCTTAAGGTGCCAAGTCCTGACTACTGGTTAATTCTGACCACTAACTTGCACCGTTTTGTATTTACCAAAATGTGTGACTTTTAAGGATTTGGCATGCAAATGGTTTCAAGATTAAGAAAAAAGAGCCAAAAAAGAAAATTTTTACTCACAAATGTGTACCAACTACTGCTTGCTACTTGGCATTATCTGCGCCTGTGCTTCATATTAAATCCCTTAACTTGCTTCAATTTGCATGTGCTGGATTTAGACCCACTTTTGTCCCTAGGGGAGAAAAACAGGAGCTAACTGAGAAAACAGATAATACCATTATCAGGGATTCATTGCTGGAAATCCTCCAAATGATCAAAGTCACCAAAGATGTACAATCTTACATTAAGAAAGCAGTAAAGTAAATAAAGATAAGAGACAGTCATCATTTCTGGTATAAGTTTAGAAAATGCAGCTGATGAAATACATATATATGTTTAAAAGAACCTTAATACTTATGTGTACACATGAGTGTATATATGCACACACATATTAAGGAGGAACAAATACACTGGCCAAATTTTCATTCAGTATTTCATTTTATATTTACTTAATTTCATTTGTAACTTTCACTCAGTATATGAACCAGTAACACATGCACATGGTACAAAGTACACAAGAACGTACAGAGAAAATAAAGTGCCTCACCAGATCCTATCCTATAACCACCCAGCTCCCCACAGGCCACCTCTCTTATCAACGTCTGTGCATCATTCTAATGAGGTGATCCTACATTGTGTACATGCGTCTGAGGCACAGTAATAGCTTACATTTAGAAATAGAACTGAAGAAAGATATCAAAAGCAGTATGGCCTTGGGACATGAGAAATTTAAATTTTATACACAAATTGCTAGAACATTATCTCCCTGAAATGTACTGTTCTCCACACTCCATTCACTCCATTTCAGCCTTCTTTCCACTAGTACACCCCATGGGACTCAACATTTCATTCGACAGCAACATCTTCTCCTACAAGACTCTCAGTTTGCAAAGTATCACAGACAAATCATAAAGGTGGACACTGAAAAGACATATTCGGGAAAAAGTCAAATTCTTTTGTAGCAAATTCGAGCAACTTAAAAAGTAAATGGAACTTTTCTACTAAGATTTAACATTGTACTGTCCCAATTACTAGGGTTTCTGCTTAAGTAAAATAGGTCAAAAATCTTTTTTTTATTCCCTCATTAGACCATGGCATTTTTGTAATATATTTTGGCAATAACTAAATTTCTCATTTTGAGTTAAGATATTAATTCCAGAAGTTTTATCACTTAGAGTCTACATGATTCAGTACATGATTCTCTGTAATACAAGTAAGAAGACAAAATCCCTCTCAGAGTCCTAGATGATCTTACATCTCTACTTTCTAAGTCCAGTGGTTCCCACCATCAGTAACTTACCAACTTCATGTTTTTTCCCATTTTCGCACAGTACACTTACTCTTAGCTACACTTAATTTTCCTTTAACTTCACTTTTAAAAAATCTTACATAAATGTATTCTAAAAGGAAACTTTACATCACTACCTTAAACCATGAACTTAATGTACATATGTATAGACATGTAACAAAAACATAACTCTTACCAAAGCCCTCACCTGTAAACCACCTAGAGTCAAGTCACATCTCACCTGCAGAAAATGTCCCCAAACTGGAACACAACGATTCAAATTTGACTTTCTCATTTTCTTTATCAGAACACTGGGATCCAGAGAAGTAGCCCAGGAAGTCACAGAAATAACTTGGGTCAAATTGATTGTGGTTGCCAAGATTTATATAATCCTCCAATTACAAAAACAAAAAATGTCCAACTGTTTGTCACTCACTGTGTGGACCTCGTTCAAGGTTTTCATACAGGTCACCTTGTTTCAATTCTCTTTTCAAGCAACTGTACTTGAAGGATGAGTGTACTAGAAAACCAAGCTGTCGTAATCCAATGTTAATTTTAAAAGAAAAGTCCTTGAAAACTCAGAAAATTACAAAGGAATGAATTCTAAAATAAGGTTATGCATCCACAGAAAACAACTTTCAGCACAAGAAGGCAGGACGGTAAAAGCTAAACTTTGTAATTGTAAAATGAGGCAGCCTATCTGATAGGAAAGGACAGCAAACACAATGTCATTTTGTAAAGAGTAAAACCAATTCACAAGTGTTTGAAACCAAAAAAATTGCAGATCCCACACACAATCTAATTACACGGGAAGAGACTACTAGGTGCAACTAAATCGCTCTAATTCTTTCCGAATCCATTTTCCTTAAGGGCTTTTCCTTTGGGATCTCATTAGCCAATGAAATTGACCCGGAAACAAATGTTTTTCACCTAGGGAGATAAAAACACTTCAGATCCTTCAGGTGAAGTCTCTCAGTGGGGTGAGAGGCCTGTAAACAATTGGCTCTATATTTGGGAACAAGGGCCCCGAGGCTTTCTCATCTTCGGCAACCAAAAGACGGCACACCACTATTGAAAGGGTTCTCCTCCCTCGAGAATGCCCTTTTGCTCTAACGTGATAGGATGCAGCGGGAGAGGGGCTGAGGATTCTTCTACCTTAGACGGGGGACTCGTCCTCAGAAGAAAGTCAGAGGCTCGGCGGAACCGGAATCCGAGCTCTCCTCCAGCTCCCCAGCTCCCCATCTCCTGGAAGGAAACCCTAGGAGTACCTCCCAGCATCCACACCTGCGAGCAAGGATGCTTACACACCTGCCCGACCAGGGGCCTCCCGCGGATGCCTGGGCTTCCAACAAGGCCTTTCTTTTCGAATATGTTGTTTTCCACAAAGTAAAATAACAAAACCAAAAACCAAACAGAAAACTGCTTTTAAAGACGGCAGGCGTCGGGTTCAAGGTCATACTGAAAGTATGGGCCTGGGCTGGGAAGGATGAGGGAAGACGACCAGCCAAACCTCGCTTGAAGCTCTTAGGACGCCCTGAGAGCTTCTCAAGCCTCAAATTACTTTCTAGCTGGAAAAGTCTAAATTCATCGACAAAACGAGACACCGAACTGGAAACGGGGAAGAGATTAATCCAAAAACGTTTGCTGGAGAGTATCCTGCTCTCCCTCGGTTCCACGGACTCTGAGAGGCGGCAACGCCCTGAGGGAGAGGAAGGGCCAAGGTTGAAGGCGAGAGGCCCGGGGGTCGGAGCTCTGGCCTGAACGACACCACCAACGGGCTGGGGCCG